CGCTTGTTACATGTCAATGCATGGTGCAAACGTGGAATATATAATATATAACTATAAATATAAATACAAATATAAATATAAATATAAATATAAATATAAATATAAATATAAATATAATATAATATAATATAATATAATATTATATAATATAATATAATATAATATAACCTGGGCTGGAAGCCATGCCTGCCGGCCCACTCGTCAAGGAAGGCAACGTCATCTGTGCATAATGCGCCACGCCCGTTCGTGTCCAAGGCCTCGCCATGCAAATATTCCAAAGTCTCAACACTTCACGAACAATCAACGGCGCCTTGAATGCCAATTTGGCCGGCCCCCTGTATCCGTAGGCACGGCATGCCCTGAGCGAACGACAGCTGCGAACGTTCACTTTCGAATTGACGATGCCATGCGGTTTCGCAGAAAGTCCGGCCAAGCAGCTGCTTGAACTCGAAGGATGTGACTTCGTTCGATCCATCATCGTCAAGAACCATGAAGCATGTCTTCACCTGTGAACAGTGCCGGACATTCGGGAAGTCCTGGCTTCCTTCAAACCGAGCGCAGCACGCTCCCGAACTGCTCCACCGCCCAATCGCGAAAGGAGACCAGAGCTTCACCGGCACTCGGATCGATGTCTTGAAGCGTCAGGCTACCTCAGGGCCACGAGGGCCACGGCCGGAGGATGCTGGAGTCAAGGCAGCGCTGGTGCAGTCAAAGGGCCAGCTTTTCTTTTGTCGAGGGCACACCATGCACCTGAGAGTGAAAGGCCCTGAGTACCCTTTTCTGGCCAGATGTGCCACTTCCCCTCGCCCCGTGACCTGGCACGTCCTCGCTCCATCCGACCTCTTTGCAGGCGCTTTGGAACCTGCGGCAAGGCGACGCGACGATGTCCATAACAGGGGAAAACAGATCTTGGCTTCCGGCTCCTCCCAGCTGCACCGGTTGTTGCCTCATAGAGGGCTCTGCAACACGACATCCACTCGGTGCAGGCAGGACGCCGTGAAACACACCACAAGAGCTGAGATGCCAGGGCCGGTGCCGGTTCTGTCCAGAGCTGTTTTCCATGCACGGAGGAAGGTCACGTGCTTCTTTAGAAGCCTGCATAGATTGAAGGCTCTGGATGGAACCAACTTTCCTCGCTTCTCACGGCCTGGCTTTGACCTCGGTCGGAGGCTGCAGTGCTTTTGAAGCGGAACGAAGCCTCTGAGACGGAGGCCCGTTCTGCGGCTTCCTCATTTGGCTCTGCTGTGAGGAAAGGGCGAGGCCGCCACCTGGCGAAAGGATGAGGCTGCCTGCACAGTCTGGGTCAATGGGCTGAGTCTGCCACTTCTCCAGGAAGCGAAAATCCTGGAGAATAGGACAAAATCCAAAATCTTTTGTTGGCCCCGACGCGTGCTGTGACAAATACCGGCACAAATGAAACTGGCCTCCTGGTACAGGCGACCCGTATTCTGCAGGTCCAGCGCCGCAAAGAGGTCCGCCGTCGAATGCTTGAACCCCAGCTGGCCAAGCCTCGTGGAAAACCTGACCAATGCGAGCTCATGCCCAGGCTCAAGACCACTCGATTCTTCGTTCGGCCCAGCAACTCCTCGAATGGCACGTAATTATTGCGATCTGCGTCCAAAACCGTAAAGGCAACCTCATAACCTCAGCGAGCATGACAGCTGTGCATGCATCGGCATACCTAATGCTGGGAGTGCTGCTTCTGAAGCTATCCGTCACGAACTTGCTAAAGTGCGCCAGGACCTGCCAAGTCAATTCGGGCTTGTATCGTCCTCACATGCTTCATGACTACTCATGACAGCGGCCTGGTTGGCTTCACTGTGGAGGCTTTACAGCTTGACAGCCCTTCTACGACGTCTTCACCGCATGCCCGTGCCGATCCGCAACAAAAGCTCCAGCTACCCCAGCCGCCCGTGTGCCCATCCCACCGGTTGGCTACGAGGGACGACACAAACAGCACATGAAGGACTTGTGTAAAGTGCAAAGATCAAAAAAGTCGAGCGCAAGTCTGCACGGTCAGATAACTGGAAGTGCTCATTCATCCGATTTTCGAAGATGTCCTGTTGGCGCAGGCTGGTCATTGACGGCTAGACATCAGCAGTAGACATCAGCAGTAGAACAGCTGCTGAGTCAGAGTTACTTTTGGCTTGTGGTTCTGCTTTGTCGCCCAGTCTCCAATTCAGTTACACCGTTACACCTGTGGTGTTAGTCAGTTAGTCTTTAGTTAAGTTTGTGCTACGCACGAAACTCCACTTTGGGCACCCCCTCATGCTCTAATGACACACCCGAGTCTTGCGACAGCTCAGCTTCCCTGCTTTTCTCCACCGGGCTTCACATGGGGTAGCGGCTAGCATCTGCTCAGGTCTACCAGACATAGGCAGGCCCTGCCTGAGCACTCTCATAGTCGAACTCCTCCAATGTAACGCAGCCGTTGCTGTCTCTGTCCATCTTCTGCCACATTCCTCGCACATCCTGGCAAAGACGGTTCTCTTATCTGATCGGAGAGCACACGCCAGCGTGGAAAACCATTGTCCTTTCTCCAACCAAGCTCTGAGCATGCCTTCAAGAACTGAGATCTCTGCAACGTCATAGTGTCTCCTGTCCGGTGGCGACCATGCTAAACGGTTCACACCGTGAAAGAGGGGGAACACGACTGCGCAGTGTAAGCACAGACGTCGAATTCCAGCAAGATTTCTGATGGTTCAATTTGCTGCTCCGGTGCTTGCCGAAGCTTCTTGGCAGGGCCAACAGCATGTAAATTCGGCATTGAGGTCGGCACTCTGGCAGAGAGCCCTGCGCCAAGCACGGATAAGAGTGCCGTACTTCCGCTTCAACATATTCCTGAAACCGGGCATGGCCCACATCAAACAAGCCCAGTGTATCGTGATGCTCTTGCTGAACTAAGGTCGCAGCTTGAATTCAAGAAGAACCTCGCTTGGGTCACGCTGCTTGGATCGTCTCTCCCTCAGCCGCTGCTCCTTCAAACAAGCCGTTCAAACCACATGTACCTGGTAGTCCTTGCAGTACCTTGTGCTCCCCACTCCAACAAGAGACTCTGTTTGTCCCAGAGTGGTCCTGAACCGCAAGCCAGCGTGCCTTCTCCTGCCCGGCGTCACATGCTGACAATCAGTTGTGTCACGAAGTTCACACAAGCATGAAGCAATGGGAGTCCTTCCGAGCAACTCTTCGACACTCCACGTCAAGCCATTTCCTTACGCCGGAGGCAATGTCGTGTATCAACAGTTCCGTGCAGCTGCCCAAGGTCTTGATCTTGGCCGAAGCACATGTCGGCCTTGATGAGATTTCGCTGATCGAGACCTCGGCCAACGGTCACTTGCAGCTGTGTGCAGTCTCTTTCAGCTTCAACATGGCCTTCTGGGCAATTTCAGACGAGCAGCTGAGGGCATCAAAGATGCGATCTTCATGACCTTCCTCCCAACCCAAAGACTGCAAGCCTTCCCGAAACTGCCTTGGTCATCGCTAGCCACGACGAGCAAGCACTCTTGCGCCTGCAAGCTAAGCCGAAAGCGTAAAGGATATCTTCATATCCTCTATCTGTTCCCAAGCGTTGGAGCTCCCCATCGACCGCATGAAGTCCTTTCGAGGCCACATGCTACCACTTCTGACCGACAGTGCAATGGCAGGTCGGCGTGAAGACCCTTTTCTGACACCGTGGTCCTCGACACCTTTCCGGAACTTCAGCACGCAGAACTCTTGGAAGTTCCAGTAGAGACTTCCATCTTCCTCGTCCAGGTCCTGTATTGTAGAGAGGCCGGGTTTTAGAAAAGACAGCAGCGTGAGGCTGTCTGAAACCCTGCCTGCAAGGAGAGCTCCCCTCCACCGTCTTCATCGAGCCCCTCGAAGAGGGCCGTCGGATCCTCGCGTCAAGGCGCTGCAGGGCCTCTCCATGGCTCTTCTTCCGGCACCCCTCCTCTGGATACTTCGCGTCTCGCAGATAGCGCCTCGGCTGCGACTGGGCGTTCTTTCTAGCTGGTGCAAGTGATGCAAAAGCACGGGCAAGGCCCACGAAGCCAGCTTGGCGGAAACAGAAATTCCCGAGCTTCCCCAGGCCATGTCTGCGCGCCAAGATGCAAAAACTGCTGCTGCGAGACCTTACATCTTCGACAAGTTGGACTAAATTACCAATAAGACTATGTCGGCAGTGCCACATGAAAGTCTGACCAAGCACGGTTGGCTTTTAACGAGTAATGAGATCCTTCCAGGCGACTTGGCGCTCACAATCTGGATCGAGGCGTTGGACCCATGCCTTGGGCAGCACAGGAAACCCGATGAAGGGCCGAGAGATGACGAAGAAACAGTGCACCACGATCTTTCTGCTGTCCAGGTGACACGCAGCACAGACCCCTCCTTCCTCGTAAGGAACTTCTTCACGATGGCTTTGGCCATGATCGAAGCTTTCCTGCCGAAGAGGATGTGTGCCATCTGGTTGGATGAAAAGCGGTCTCTGGCCAAGGCACGGGAGCCCACTCTTCCGCGGCTTGTTGTGGTGCGGAGGTCGTGTGGGACTTGCAGCTCTTCCGTCACATCGCTTTGCGATGGTCGGGCTGCAGGCGCGTTGCACCACTGTTCCGAGCCGACAATGGTTCAGGTGTCTACTCTTGCTCGCAGATGCACTCACGCAAACAGGTCAATGCTTCCCTTTACGGCACGAGTGAGCAGGCACACTCCCCGTTGCCCTGTCACACTTTTTTCTGACGAGTTTGCTACGGCGGCAGCTGCAACTGACAGGTACTCACCTCAGCTGCCGGTCTAGAATCTAGAATTTCTCCACTCCATGCTGCTGGCAGTGGAATTCAAAAAAGCTTTCGCTGAAAATTGCTTGCGCACTAAGCTTGTCGATGTTGATGTGCAAGTTGAGCCTCAAGTGCGCGGTATGGCGCAGTCTGCCCGCAAAGCAATGCTGATCACATTGATATAGCTTGGCCCAGGGCTGCCTCCAGCCCCACTGAAACAAGTCCTCAGGCGGCTATCCCTACAAAGAAGAGGTTACATTTGGGTCAAGTACACCTGCCTCTTCTGATCGTGACGCGGCGGCCTGTGGCACAGTTACCAGGAAGCGAAGTGTGGCAGCGAATCCGAGGCGACGAGAAGAGGTTCATTGCAGGCCTGCGTCTCCGAAGCATTTGTCAGAAAGCCTGGGGCGGCACAGGATGCGGGAAACGTGCTGAAGATGCAGCTGCACTCAGATTCGGGCAGAAGTGCAAAACTCGTGCAAGCCGAGCTATCCCACCAAAGATTCCATAAGGGTTCTTGTCTTGACCCTCGACCTGAGCAGAGTCCATCAGCATCGAACCCACCCTCAAGCGAAACTGACCGGGGCTCTAGCACAGGCCTAGCAACATGTACGCAATCCTCACTTCACTGGCAACAGGAGACCAGCCCAGCCTGGAATCCTGCATCCCGGGCGGGCACTGCTTCCACCAAGGCCTGTGAACAACATGTGGACCTGTTGGTCTCCGTTTTGTCGTCGTTGTGCAATCTGTGCTTCCGAGGCCCTGGCAGATCCCTCGCCCATGAAGACGGACCAGCTTAGACCGTCTCCATGGGCTCCGAACATGAGCCTTCACTTCTCGCTTCCCCGTGCTGCCCAAGCGCTCCGATGCGCTGCGATGGCGTGCGCCTCATCCGTGCCGCTAAGCGCAGCTGGTCTGGCCAGGACAACTCCGCCAGATCGGCAACCTCGAGGCTGCTGATGAGGTCCTCGGATCCGGTACTAGTACTAGTTTCATGTTCACATCGAAGACATGCTCTCGGCTACACTTCTGGGAAGCTTGCTGGATGACTTGAGACCCACTCATTCGCCGCTTCCCGAACGCTGTCGAAGTTGTCAATCCTAGCCACATATCAGCAGCATCGCAACATGGCACAAAAGCAGCTGGAAGGCCCCTGCCATCGCCCCCATGCGCTGCTGTTTCGCCGTTCAACCAGGAGAAGTCGGGATTCGCGAACAGAGTCCTGCCAACGCGCTGGCTTATGACGTCCAAGCACTCTGAAACCCTGGCTCTCCTCGAATTTTTCCGATTGAACGAAATCCCGGGCTGCACGAACGAAGTGGCTCCTCAAAGTGACATGAGCCGTCTTCAACCGCTGACTCAAAAACGCACCAAGAAGAGCTCCCCATATGTGCCGGAGAAGGACATATGTGCTTCATTCGTCCATCCACCACCAGAATATAGCATCAGCTCATGGCCCCAGACAGCTCGGCGGTAGCAGCTGCCTGAGTCACGAAATTACCGGCTGTGGCGATTTATTTTCGCTGAGAAGCTTGAGATCCTCATTTGCATTTCTGGCCATTTGCCTGCCACTTCCTTGAGCAGCTTGTACGGCTGGTCACTGATGAGCCTCAGTCCGGGCGACACAATCTGCGCAAGAAGACGTGGCTCCAACTGTCCTGTTTCAAGCCACCCTAGCAAAAAATCGAGACCACCCATCGTGGTGTCGGACACCTCATCCAGAGCGATCACATCGATGAGCGAAAATCATACTCTTCGCCAAGGTAGGGGCTCCGTCGCCAAGCACCTTCTCCCAGATGTGCCTGTCCTGGCACATTATGCACTCCCCACCTGATCACCGGCTCCTCCAGAAATAAATACATCAGATACATGATACATGAAGCCAAAACCATCGCATGGAAAGACGACTCACGACGAAAACAGATGTGCCAACCCATGCCGCAAAAGGCGCGATCCGTAGAAAAGCCGCTTCTGTTCTCAAAGCTTTCCTCGCAGAAGGCACATACTCCTCAGATGCAGTGAGTAGTCACTAGTCCGTTTCTGGGAGGACGACGCCACGCGACAACAAGCTGGCGCATTGAAATGGCAAGCTCTCTCATATGCCTTTGACAGTCATGCGATTTCAGAGTTCCACTTGGCAGACAGAGAGTGGTAGATCGCAGTTCGATGCTGTGGCGATCGGAGATTTGATGCAAAAGGCCGTTGAGGCAGTGCTCAATGACCGGTGACCTTGCAAAGGATTTAGATTATAGCCTTTTGTCTGGCACGGATTGGCAAATTGAGCAGGTCAAACAAACGGTGAAATGCATCTGCCCGACTAGATGACATGAGTGATGATACAGTGAGCCAAAAAGACTGGACGAATCAGATAGGTCGACTTGAACACGCGGACATTCGTGGCCAAGGAAAACGGCAGAGTCTCTAGAAAAGGCTGACAAGAACATGGGTAAGAGAGCCTTCCTTCTACCGCACACGAATAGCCAGGGTAGGCAACCAAAGATAAGGTGGGTACAAACTGCAAGATAATAGAAGGCACAGACAAAGCAGCGTGTGATATGTAGTGTTGATGTCGCAGAGAAGGCACATAAGCCAGGCAAGATTAAGTAAATTAAGTAGACAGAACAACTGCACTACACGAATAGGTGGGCCTTGTCCAAATCTTGATCCACGATGAGAAGATCGAAATCTCCTTGTCTAAATTTTCGGGGCACATTTCCATCGGCTGCCCGTGACCAGCCAGTCCTCCCAACTGCAGCAGACCGTAGCGGCCGTCCATTTTGGACTGCGCGTAAGCTGGCACCAGTGAGTGCAGCATGTGCCAGGGACTCCTGCGCTATGACCACACTTTCTGCGGATTTGCAGAGCTCTCATGTCTTGCTCAGAACCGGGCCGGAGTCGTAGAGTCACCGGAAGGATCAGGGCATCCCTGCCCTGGACTCCTGGAAGGGTGATCTCAGGAGCTTTGAGGCATCGAAAAAAGCAAGCTGACAGGCTCCTGCCAGGAGCTGCTCGGAAGGGCTCGAGGACCAGTTCAACGGGTACAACGTCGTACCCATCTCTGAGCAAGCCTGCGCTGGAGGATCTGGGTGTAGCGACGTCTGGTAATTGCAAAGCCGCTAGCCCGCCTTGATCATGCCGGGGTAGTCCACGCGCTGAAGGCAATCAATGCCGGGGTGGAATGCCTCAGCAGCGTTTCGCTGTAAGAGGGCAACGCCTTGGCCTCAATCACCGCCCTGGCCTGAAGTTCGCCGTTGCTGATGCACATGGGAGACAGCTCGAGGCTGCAGCGATCTTCGCCAGGGGAAGTAATGGATGTGCACCAGCGGCCAGGCGGACACACCTCAAAATATCAAGCCTTGAGTTGGTTTGACTTTGCTCCGTCTCTGCCTTCCTCCAACATGCGAACCTTGTGTGGAACCCAGACCCTGCCAATGAGGTGGAAAGCTGCAGCACTGCCCGACAACATGCGACCCTAAACCCCAAACGTTGAGTTGATTTGACTTTGTTCCGTCACGTCTCTGCCTTCCTCCAACGCGTGCGAATGAAAGAGTGGAGCACAAAGAAAAATCAAGGACACGAGACAGGGATAAAGGAGATTGCCGAGTGTTTCAACTTGTTCAATTCAACTACTCTTTTTTATGCAATTCCCGGCAGCTGTATCTGTTGCGTACTGTGCATGTCTAGAGAAGTTTGGCATTGCCAGCTGATTCGAACTGCTCAGCTGATCTTGGCACCACGAGAGCCAGATCTCGAGGCAGACTGCACATGCCCCGAACACTTTGCCGGTGCTTTGAAAAAGGGTTACCCTCTGAATGGACCCGACTGTCAGTACATGTAGGAAGACACGCTCTGCCTCCGCATCGGCCGAACAGCCATCTTTGATGGGGATGCAGCGCTTCAACCGCTTGTTGCACACCTGCGGTGCACGGCGAAGGTATCATGTAGGATCATGCACTCATCTGATTCTGAGATCCTGGCGTGACCGGATATGTCCGAGCACCCCTCGTCATCGACACAAGTCCTGCCAAGCAGGGGTCGGATATGTGTTAGCATACTCTGCTGTCTCTTCACCTAGTGGGCTGCCAGAGAAGATCATCCAACAACTCCGCCTTTGAATTTTTCAGGCACAACAAGAGTTTGCACAGGCCCGCTCGCCATAGTCACCGTACTGTTGACACTGGAATCTGCACCAAGCCCGACGCGGATTGGATGTAGTAGGAGACTGCACGATAGAAGCGCACGTAGTTCGTTTGCACCTCGAGCAGGAGCTTCGAGCGTCTTTTCAAAGGCTCCCGAACGATTGGACTAATTCCAAATCCAACGAAGAGCCCGAAAGTGGCACGAAGCAGGAAAGCAGTGAAGATCAGTGAAGCGAAAGACCTTCGATGACTTCTTGGCAGCAGCAAAAAGGGAGCCGACACAACCCGTAATCGAGACTTTGCCAGAGTAAGAGTAGTGCCCACCGTGGACAGACATGCCTGCCTATGACTATTTACGATTGACCTGGTCGACAAGGGAACCATATCGAAACAGCTAAGTACAGAATCCCAGCGGCGTCGAAGGCAGAGGTGGGCCACCTCGGCACTGCCTCCGGCTGCAGGCCTCAGCTCGCAGGCGTTTGTGAGAACACTACAGGACAGCATGGAAAGTCAAGTCGAAAAAATCGGAGTCGTTTGCAGTTGCGCAGGTTCCTGACCCACAGGTCCAAATCCCGAGATTTGTCTTAGCCGCCCGAAGGCAGAAACTGAAAACCAAAAACTGCGAGTAGCCCGCTTTACGGGTTACCCGACAGTCGGTGAGACCGGCTGGCTGAGGATTCATTCGTCTAAATCCTGGTGCAGCTTCTTCAGGAGCTCGAGTCGCTCTTTGAGCATCTCGTTCTCATCGTCGCTGGCATCTGCCTCCTCGGGCTCCTCAGCCATTTCCTTGTCTGCTCCGAGTGGTTCAGACCGCAGTTCACTCGCTGCATGCAGTATTCAGAGAGGCCGGTGAGTGCTAGAACACGGTACACGTGGTACATAGCTTTCAAAAACAACATTTAGCGGGCAAGGCAGGGGGTGAGCGGTCAGAAAAGCGCCAAGACTCCGGAGGTGGAATGTTAATCGGCCGCACGTCGTTCTTGGGTGGCGACAGAATATCTGCGAAGAAAGAGCAGTACTTGCGCAAGAAGCCTCCATCTGTGGAGCTTTGGATAGATACGCTCTGCTCTGTAACAGCATGTGGTCGTACAACCACAGAGGAGACACGCTCTTCTCGGGGAGCGAGGCACTCTTGGAGCTCGACCCCTTCCACCTTCTGCAGCTCATGTTGGAGAGTTGCGGCAAGGGTGCTCCGATGCTTCTTTACCAGAGCTCTCAATGCGTCCAACCTGAAGGAGAAGATCTTCCGATCGAGCACGCTCCAGCCACCAGACTTCTCCACCTTCTCTCGAATGTAGGTCTCATCGCTGTCCTTGGCACAACGTGCGTCTCGAGTCCTGGCTCGAAGCATGTCGTCCAAGTTTGCCGCATGCTTCGAAACGTAGTCCATGGAGTATGCAATGTTCACCGCTGTGCGCGCTGCGAGGGCCTCGCTAATTTCATAGACGCACCACAACCTGGAGCAGGCAGCGGCTTACGACATTCTACTGAACGGTAGCAGCGGGGAAGCAGGGACCGGAGGACAAGGACGAGTTTCACTGAATGGCTACCGTGTGTGGTCCGTGCCGAGACGAGTTCACGAGGCGCCCACAGCACAACCCTGAAGCAGACACGAAAGCTTTGGGACACCATCTGCGGATTCTCCTGTCAAACAGTTGTGGAGTTCAGTACTATCTTCATGCTCCAGGGCTCCCGGTCAAGCCTACATTGCATTGAAAGCTTCCAGACATCTTTGGGCGTTGCTGACCTAGTGTAGATCTCTTGCTTCGACGTGTGCACCACCACCATACCATCGCGGTTGGCCACAGCTCGAACTACTGTTCCAAACGGATCCTTTCGAAGCTGCTCTGCGATCGTGGGCCCAACGTCCTCCAGCTCATCGCCTGCTTGATACTGTGAGAAAGCACAAAACCAGAGTCCACATGTCGGCTCGATGCTTTGTCTGGACTTGAACTCCTCGAGTGCTTCGCTGCATTCATTCATTGACTCTCCCCAGCAATGCGAAACCATCAGCGTAGCGTCCACCGGCTGGGCCGGATTCATCCTCAACGCGATGCCGGCGCCAGTGTTCCGGGTCCATCTTATAAGCAGAGGGTTTAGGTCGTACAAGTTCACGAAGTCTTTATTCAGCTCTGCGTTCTTCCAGCATTTTGTGCTCGTGCACGCTTCGACAAACTCCATGAACTGGGAATACATCATGCCCCACTGAATTGGACCAACATCTCTGTTGGTTTTGGTCAGTTCGGATGGTGCTGCCAGACAAGATGGAGGACCATCTTCTATGTCAAAGAGCTCCGGGCTCAATTCGAAGACTGGATTCGCATCCAAGACGTTTTTTGTCCGAGGCCGCGAAGAACCTTCGTCTTCGGGCACCTCTGCTGGACCTAGGCAGGTGTCGTCGTGTCCTTTGCCAGTGGCGCACGCACGGCAGCAAGTCTTAAAGGCATACCCTTTTTTGCTCTTGCCTTCGGCAACGAGATGACCACAGCCTCTCTCGCAAAGCTTGAAACTCATGGCACAGCGGATAGCGCAGCCCACTAGTGACTGCAGTATGCCCTGCTCGAAACTGCTAGTCTACAGCTCTTTTGTGAGGGTAAGAAGACTTGTCCACGCCCTGGGCGTATCTGTATCTATGCTATGTAGGTTCAATCGAGGTGTCTGAGTCGGTAACTACCCTCCATCCGTTTAAGGGCTTTCTCTGGGCGGGGCTGCTGCCCGCTCAAAGCCCGAAAACCTCGCGTGAGCCACAATTCCACTGCCGGGATTCAGAAAATTAGCATCGGCTCTCAAGAACACCTCCAGTCCTTACAGATCTACTCGCGCCCCGTCCGCTCGGCGGCAGACACTCTTCGGCAAAAGGGAGGGCCATCAAGGCCTCAACGAGCTGCTCCTGGGCTTCGTCAAACCTCCTCAGGCCAAGAAGAACTGCTCTTTCAACCCAGCAAGATGCTTTTTCAAAGCTTGCTTATGTGTGGTGAGCCGCAGACAGCTGCAGGAGCTTCCGCTGAGCCTCAGCGACACGCAAACTCACAGGCGTCGGGCAACCGATGGCATCAACATGCCGACTGGGCCCGTGTGGCTCAGGATGGTGCGCACAGTACATGCAGAAGAATCACTCCAGGAGCACCTGATCTAAGAACACACTGTTTGCTACTGCTGCCGTTGCTAAACGCTTTCCACGGCCGGGCGACAATCTGACAGCGCTGCAGCACCACGGGGACTTGTTGCGGGTAGATCAGGACACGGAAAGTTTCGAATCCTCTTGTCAGCACCACTAAGCGCAAAGATTCACGGTGCAAGTCTCCGGATAACCAAATCGGACACTGAGGAGGATGCCAAAAGAATACGGGGTCTGAGTAGTTCAGCCTCTGTGGCAGGCGTCTTGAAAAATGAGACCCTTGCAAGGTCCGGCGCACATGCGATGCGGCAACATCTCAGACTGCGGCACCCGCTTGGCAAAGTCAGGCGTAAACGCCTACACACCGGCAAAAATCAAAGGGATTTCTGGGACCCTGAACCCTAAACCCTAAATTCCTTTGCTCCATGGTTTCTCATGAACGAGGTAGGGCCTTCCAGGTTGCCTCGCGCAACTGCTGCCAGTGTGCATCCAGTGGCTCACAGCTGCAAGCTGCCGGCCTCAATTCTGTTTTCGCGGACTTTGGTGATGATGATGATGATGATGATCATGTATTTCTTTCCTATCTACTTCCAAAGCAATCGTCTCATGGGCCACATGCAGCGCTTCGACTTCCGGGCAACGAACGGCGTTTCCTGTAGAGCAAGCACTGGCTGTTGCGTCGGCGCAGATCCTGCGACCATGGCCAATTTCAATGTGCGGGTCTCGCATGAAGAACCATGTCACTAAAGTCACTAAAGCGGACGTCCAGACGCAGACACGTTCCAGATGGCCACATATATCAACACCTCGGGTTGCGCCGTACTGCATCTGTCAATCAACCAGCACGTGGCGATCGTGCATGGTATTCTCTCGTTCTCCTAAGGCACAGACCCGGAGCCACGTCAAGGCAAGGCACGATGTCCTGTAACTTGCAGCTTCGTGGCTCCGGGATGAACGATCCGCGCTTGCCGTCCTAGAGGCAACGTTTTTGTCCATGCGGCGGTTGCCGCCTGAGCTGCCACTCTCCACTCATTCAGCTTCTGCGAAAGAAATGTGAAACCCTCCAGCCGGGCGGACGACCCAAGGCATGTCAGCGTCATGGGCCAGGTAGCATGCCAGACGGTGCCCTTTCTATGTCAAAATTTGCGGGGCTCTCTGCGAAGTAGCTGCCGGCATTCGTGTTGGTTTGCCCAGGCTTGACTTTGAGCCAGGCTTCTCACTTCGGGAAGAGGTCAGCTTGATGGAAACCCGGGTGCAGGCTTGGCAACCAGACCTTCCCAGGGAGGTGATGTCGATGCAGAAAGAAATCCGATTCGCCGGAACCTGCAAAAAATCAGGCACGGGCAAAGGACGAAGTAAAGTCTACGAGCCCGCCTTCAACACCCGAAGGCCTCCGCAGAAATTCAGACAAGGCCAAAGCAGCAGCTGGGGGCTGGAACAAGGAAATGAACGGATTCTAAGGCGAGGACCCAATTTTTGGCACACTGCTGTTAAACGTTCCTCAAACCACTTGGCATTCTCCTTCCAACACCGGCATGGCGCGCAACAGTGCCGCAGTGCCCCAAGAAAAAGCATGGTCCCGTCCTTTCTTTCCTGGAGCAGGCCTGTCCAGCCAGAGACGCCCAAGGACCTGAGTGGAGCTTGGCATATCTGCGGATTCCTATCAGTCCGCTTACGCAAGCACAGCTAGGGCACAGAAGGGTAATGAAGAGGTCCAGCCTCACAGTGGTTCTGCGTCGCTACGGAAAAACCTTGCCGACCGTGCCAAATATGAGCCCATCGCACAGGCCCCATCGATGCACGGCCAGGATAAAGACTGGAGACCTGTTCAGCTGCTGGTGCAATTCTTACCAGCCGCTCGAACCCGACCAGCCTTGTCTACTAGAGCGGAGGAAGGCCCGGCCACAATGGCTCCACCCACTGGCACCATGAAATTCTTGTCCGTGCTCTGAACCTGGCAGGCAGCAGGAAGTGTCCACTGTGCTGTCTTGCTCTCTCCTGTGCAAAGCCTTAAGCCGAGCCAAGCCCGGGACAAAAGCATCGACTCGCCCTCGGCGACAGCCGGTCTGGTCGAGCATAAGAACTGTTCTTGCTGCAGTCACATCGCAAGATGTGACACGAAATTCCGTGAGCCCAGCCTCGATAAGATGTGTACACTTGGAGCACTGCAAGCCGTACCTATCGTTGCTCCAAAATTGGCTGATGCGCGGACGGGCTGCAGACCACTCATAGCTATTGGCGGCACGCGTTGTTGATAACATGTGGCCTAGCTACACTCTGCGTATGAACAACTTGGGCACAGCGCTCCAAACATGCTGAGGGCATCTCACGTCCAGCTTACTGGCTACTAGCGCGACTTCGTCGATGAAGTCTGGCACTCTTGGCCTATCACGGCGAGTTCGACATGGCAATACCTAACACCAAACGCTCAAGCATTGCCGAGATGCGCAAAAGTGGAGGTGGTTGTGCATATACAAAGGACCTAGCTCGCACTCAAGACTGTGCTGTGACACAAAACCTCAACCAACTTTCCGGAGGCCTTGTCAGCTCCGACACGCTCGATAGCAGCCTGCATACCTTCAAGATCAGTACCCAGGGCATCTGTACCTCGAGCCGAAGGAACAACACAGGCCAACAGTCGTTGTCAGTGCGTCTCAGCTGCGCTTGCCTTCGATGGGCTTGAGCTCTACTACAATCGGTTCGAGCCCGGCTGCTCCAATCGCCTCTTTCGCGGGGGCGGGACTTCCAAAGGAAAGGCAGGCTTGACAAAGGCCCAACCCGGCAGCCTTGAAGCAAGACTTCTGGTCTATCCTGCCGTGCAGCGCGCCTTGAGACCGAAGCCCACGAACCCTCCGAAGCTTCCCGACCCCGGGTCCTCGACCACACCACGTATCGGCCTTGCGGCCTGCTGAATTCGCTCTAGGCAACGCTAGCCATTTGTCGGTCTACTTGGCCGACTCCGCTGGGACAGCGCTTGGTGGCTTTTAAGCAGTTAAGCCAGTCATGAATGAGTTCTGTCCAGAGACAGCGTGCCCACCCTGGGAGTCTCGTTCAACCGGGGGTCAGAAAGTCAGGACAGAGCATGCAAACGACATGGCAAGACAAAACAAGACATGCACAGTCCTTCGTGCGACAGAGACAGAGCGCAGGCAATGATGCCATGATAGCGCCCCGTTCTGAGGAGGTGGCGGGCAAGAGCGAGAACTCTTGAAGGGCAATCAGATTCTAGTTATGTTTAAGGGGCTCCATGGGGCAGCAGGGAATGCAGAGGCCATGATTGGGAAATCAATGATGCAATTCAGAAAACAAGACAGACGAGTCCTGAGACTCGCCCGGACGAATCAGCAAGCATGTAATGTAATCCATGTCTCGGAATAAAAAGAAAGTGGTCAAACTCAGAAAACCGAGGAGGAACACCCTCACACAGCCTAACCCGCCCGACCCCACGTAAACCCACACGCACCTACGGTAGCCTGACCTACGGCTAGTTAACCTCAACAAGATCCTGACCCAAGATTTGACATGATTGTGTTTCTGTTTCTGTTTCACCATTATGATTTTCAGATTCGGCTCGGCTGTGTTCTGAATCAGGGTCATGGTTTCCGAAAGGTTCCGCATCGGAACCCCGTGAATGTCAAAAGCATTGGTGGACGGCACAAAAGGGATGTGCAAGGTTTTGTATCAGCAACTTGGCTTCGAGTTGACCCTGCATGCCTCCCTTTGCCCACGCACTTGATTCTATGTCTGCCAAGGGTCAGAGTACTGTTCAAGATTAGGTCCCGAATGTAGCTCAGCTCTCTTGCTAACCTATGAATGCCGTGGCAACAAGAACCAATGAGGGGGTTGCGCAATTAACTCTGTATGGTGTAGTACCCTCGGAGCTGTGACACGTCTTCATTCGGTTCATTGCCCAAAAAAGTCTAAACCCTCAACAATCGTGACAAGGACAGGTGTCAGGAATCCGGGCCATTGTTGCGGCCCCTGCGCCGAAAAATAGGCACTTAAGAGCTCTGCAGCACTGCCTCATCTGGCGAAGGGCGAGGAACACCAAAGTCATCGTCAGTCCTGCACCATGCCGAATTTAAGGTGCACCTTCTTACGTCCAGTCAGGGCTCAGGAATCGAGCCTGTGGCAGCAGGCAGTACTGCACATGCTTTGACTGCTTTGATCCTCAGCAAAAGGCAAAAGACTCCATAAGAAAAGGCCGGAGAGATGCGTGCTGAAGTTAAGGCGTCCCTCGAGGCCAGCGCCCAGCCAAACGGATCGCATCCAAGGCTAAGTATTTGGTCAGCCTGACTGGGCACAGGCTCAGCTCACATTGCGAGGCAGCTCCAAGGATGCAGCTGGACGATGAGGGATGAGCCAGCTGCTTTGGGCTGCTCCGCCTGCAAAATGTACATAGCACGCAAATGGCGAAGCCCGTACTTTCAAACACGAGTAGCACACCATGACATCACCACTTCGACCGATGCCTCATGAGATGAGCAGCCGCTCCGCACAAGAATGCACAAGCACGGGCCAAGCACGGGCTGAGCTCACCACCATGTGTCAGGCCGAAGTGTCGTCGTCGAACCAGATCACTGATGACGCGGCCTTGTGGCAGTCTCGCGGCATCGTGATGTTACAAGCTGGAGTTGCACAGTCTTGTTTGTTCATCCATGCCTTCCCGCTCGCCGACTCCGACGTTGCCCTGAGCACAAGGGTGCCCGCCCCATGCCATCACGGAAGCCCTGAATCACCGGCAGAGAGAAGCATGGACACCTGGAAGTTGTTCGTGTCGAACGACCTAACTAGCAAACAAAGGTGTCTGCAACCCACAAAGTTGGCCAAACAGTCACTAGCTCAACGTGGGTTTCCTCTGCCAAGACCCCAGCGCCATCTCCTCCAGTAGCAGCTGTATGTCATCCTGCAAGCAGAAAAGAGAAAGAGCTAGCATGAGAGAGGAGTGTCTGTCCTCGTTCCAGCCTGTATCGGGAAGCCGACGCTGCCTGGCAGATCATCAGCGACTACCGATTTGACCAAGCAGTCTGAAAAAAAACGAGTGAACAACATGTCCAGGTGTCGTCAGCAACGTGGTGACCTGCTTCGAACGCGAGTTCCTGGCCTCCACAACTTCATGTTCAACAGCCTTGAGTTCTTCGGCCTGTAGGCTAAGGAAAGATTCGCGCCTGCTGAGCCTGCTCCACGTAATTTGTGTTAACAAGGCCTGCGTCGGACGTGACAAGGGGATCTCACTCTATTTTGAGCACTGCTACGACACGCAATGTGGCTGCACAGTCACCGGCCTTTCAATAGGTCGAAATGCTGCGGCAGCATGGCTCTAGTCTAGGGACATGTGAATGAAGCGTGCGGCGCAAGGCGTAAGATGGATATGCTGACTGTCGATGTCACCATGCCAGCTATGGAAAATGCACTGAGCACTGAGCCTGGTTCCTGAAACCAGCAGGTACTAGCAACGGGTTCTGTATATATAGAGTTAGTCAAGAGATGGGCGGTGAATGCTAAACGATTGGTAGTTCCAACTGCACGCTGCGCGTATGTTGAGCAATCACTTCTCGGATCCTCCCGGCCGACAAAGATAGGGGCAATCTTAATCCAACCCAAGCGCATCACCGTTTTGGCTTCGGTCTCTGAATACCTGTCGCAACTGCTTGAAGCAAAGATTGCGAAACTTTGTGGGCTCGATGCTGCCTTCAAGGCTCCTTCGGAGAAACTGCTGCCTATCAGCAGTCCATGAAGGCAGTTGAAGCCCACGCTCTGGGTTTTCACCCCTCCCTGCGAAAGTTAATCCCAGTGCTATCACTTACGGCTTGCCGCCAGACTGTCCGGCAGCGCTGAATGTAGTCGTGGCTTGGTACTGAATACCCATTCCAGGATCGTACATAACCTGAGCGCATCAGGATCCCATCTGCACGGGTGTGTGTGTGTGTGGAAACGCCTGTACA